ATATTATATAAGAATAAAGAAAACTATTTAATCTTTCTTACTTAATATAAAATAATCTTATAATTTTATCAGTATATCATTTCTTTACTAAAAATATAAATAGCTCACTCTGTCAAAATCCATATTGCTCTCCAGTATTATCATTCATTACCAAATTATTCTCGATCTTGCCTAACAATTACGATAATTAACTTACGATATTCACATCGTCATTCTACTCTTCCGAAGAGGATTTAAAACTTTGCCTCGCTCTTTTTTTCGTCGAATAAAATCCGTTATTCGATGCGATTGCTGGAATCTTGATATTTCTAGGGCGATTCGCGTTATCATGGAGAACGGTCTAAGAAGAGGACTTAGAATTCGCGTAGAGTTGAGCGCGGGCGTAATAAGAGACTGCCTGCTGACGGCGGTAGCCGCGGTTCGTGCCCACAAGCAGCAGCAACACGGAGGAGAACAGGGCAGGGTGAGATGACCCCTCTCTCCTCTCACACACCGGAAGGCTTCAGGCCTGGGCCCCGTTCCCGGCCCCGGCTCCGGCCCCAGCCCCGGCCCCGGTCTCGGCCTGAAGCCGCGTGCGAGCGGGCCCCGCTGGCGGAGACCCCGCGGCGAATCCAAACGCTCAGTTTGCTCCCTCCTTCCCTCCCTTCCATCCTCTCTCAAGTGCATACTCTCTCTTGTCGTGATGAGGTTCACGATGCCGCAATCGGCAGACTCGAGAGGGGTCCCCACGTGTCGGAAGAGCCTCTCGACTACAGTCGATAATAAAGCAGCCTTAAATAGAAATCGTCTACATACGATGAATTTTTTTTTTTTAAAGGCAATTATTTTCAATCTTTGTTAAAAGAGTATTCCTTTATCATTTCTGTCGTTATATAAAAAAGCTTGTTGATATAAAAATCTATATCTACTGCATATTCTCAAAGAATTAGTTTTACAATTTATGCGTAATCTTTTCCATTGATCCATTTTTGTGATCGTGATCTTCTAACTTAATTAAAAAATATCTTCACAAAAGTATAAATAAATTTCTGTTTTTAATTTAATTCTTTTTGTACTTACCTCGTCAGGAATCGAATGATCAGAATGGTGGGCCGAGTTTCTTCAATTTCCTTAACAAATCCGGTTTAGTTATCAATGCCTTATGAATAGACTCAATTAATACTTTAGTTTGATCATAGGGTGGAAACGGTATGCCTTCGAGATTGTAGACGTAAACGGCACCCTCAATATCAGCGATCACTAATTGATTCCCATTCGCTGTAAAACCAGCAGCAACTAATCTCACTCCGTTCGGTGAAATCGTTATAGATGCTGGAATATGCGTTTTTCTATGAATATCCCACAGGCAAATCTGGTCGTTTACAATGCTGGCGATAATAGTGGAACTTGTAGGACTCCAACAAGCGTTCCTTACGCATGCCATCGCTGTCGATAGGGTGATAAGTGGCTCGGTAAGACCCTCAGCCCAGATCCTGATGCACCAATCAGCGCCGCAGGTTAAAAATAACTTCTGACAAAAGGGCGAGAACTCAAATGAGTAAATTGGACCGTCATGCGCCAGAAAACTGTCCACGTGCTGATACAAGTAATTTGTGGAGCATCGATAAATACAACCTTCATCGGAGCCGACAAAGTAAATGTTGCTGACAATGGGATGTTTTCGCAGAATAAGTGCACTTGGTTGGCGATTGATGGGCACATCGTAAGCCACACAATGATCTGTTCTAGAAACCCCATTTAGTTTACCTTCGATTCTATATAAACGCATAATCTCTGTGGCAAACAAATCTTCTGCCAAACGATAGCAGTATATCCGGCCATCTTGATCACTAGTATAAATTTGTTCTTGGTAATTAAATTGCTCATCGCCGCTCCACCATTGAACCTGGTGGAAAAAATTAAATATTATCAAAATTGTACCGTAAATTTCAGAATTAATAAATAAATTAAATATAGTGCGCGTAGCATTAAAGTTAGAATAATAATATCGCAATAAGTAATATACTTACTTGCCAATGTGGTGAGCAAGCTGTCGATGTCTCTCTATGACTTCGCCTGATGATATTCACTTCTTTTGCGCTAACATCAATAACTTTCACACTTCCATCATAGAAACCGATTGCCAGAAGATTCGGTCTTTCTCTGCTCCAATCGATATCGGATAATGGACTATCAAAGGCATACTCGCGACCAGGTTGGCTAGGATTTTTGGCACACCAGATCAACAGTACTCCATCCGCCTTGTTAGATCCGGTTTTAGCGCCATAAGCAACAGCGAGGACGCTCGCGTTGGCCGGATTCCAGCGAAATGCAGTCACAGGACGATTGTGCACCATTTCAAATGCGAATGTCCACAGCAAATCCAAGTGATAATCGAATTCCAAATCCAGAGCGCATGGATCGCGTTTAATTAAGCCAGTAAAACGTTTTTGCGCCTCTGCGAATACATTGTTTGCAATTATACGTTCCATTATGGTTACCGCATACAAGAACTCTGTCTCTCGACAAATACGAGACAATTGCTCCTCGGGGCTTTGATCAGGAATTGTTTCAGGTTCAGGGAGTTTGTATCGGAGTTTCTATTACAAAATGGAAATCTCTTTGACATCTTTTGTAAAAAAATTTCTATATTTTTTAAATTGATCTATATTATTTCATTAAAAAATATTATCATTTTCCGAAATATTAAAAATTTAAAAACTTTAGAAAATCTTTAATCTTTAAATATTCTTTTTCTCTGTTTCATCCTGTGTGGACACATTGTATCTATCATTTCAAAACTCTTTCTTTATATTTAAAGATTTTCTCTAAATTACATTAATTTTTCGTTTATAGAAATAATATGACAATATAATTTTTCCAATTATCTACATATATGTGCACATACATAGAATAAATGTTTTTTTTAATTTTCGCGATTTAATGAAAATGCATAATTGCTTTTTTAAAAAGTTTATAATTCCACATAATTTGTACCTGCGCTTCTTGCATTCGATGTATCGATTCTTTCGTGTGTACTATCATATGTCCGTTCTTCTCTATCATCAGTTCCGGTGCCGCATAAGTATCATGGATCACCCAGTTATTCATAATCATCCCTTGATTCCTGCGGGACCTCAGGCCGTAGTAAGTGCCACGTGATTTCGTCAACACATGTATCGTCTGCGTCTCGACATTCACTAGCTTCCGATCGGAGCCCGGACCTATTGTTACATACTCGTAATTCTTATTTTCCTGTTTTATCGCCTGTCCTTCGAGCGTTCGCAGATCCCCAGTCATCTGCAGCATCTCGAATATGAAGAATGTCTGCGTTTCCTTTAAGGTGATTGTCACAGTTTCCGGACGTGTCGCAAATATTGCTGAGTCGTCGCTGTAAATAAATATTCGACATTAAAAAAATATCCTGTATTTATTTAAATCTATTTTACGTATATCCCAGACGACATCACTTCAAGACAGCTCCAGTTTAGGATTGTCTTAAAATAGTTTTATAATAATTAATATTATAATTTCGCACTCAACAATAAAAATGTAATGCAAAAAAAATTATATAGTGTTAAGTACAAAATTATTAAGTTAATATTAATTAAGTTATTTTCAGTTGGTCGAATAAGATATTTCTCATAAAAATACGATAATGCTCCAAAAGTAAAGTTAAATTTACATCGCTTAGAAATAATTAAAACATATAACATAAACTACTGTTACCTAGGTAGAAAAAATGGCAATGGCGCGACATCTTCATCTTTCTCCGTGGGCAAAAACTCACAAACCTGTGTCGACAGTAGACTTTCTATCTGTAAATCATCGGATAAAGACTTAAGAAGGAGAGAAGAATTAGTCACGAGACCGCTGGCTCTCGAAGAAGCTATCTGCAGTTGGGAACCGCTTCCGGTCTGGAATAATCCAATGGTCTCCAAAGCGGTCGTCTGATTCTCATCAATGGTGCTAAAAGCTGCATGGACTAACGGTTTTGGTGTAACATCCATATTCTCGTGAATGATCCGAAAGGCCTGTCGTTGTTGAAGAAGAATCGAAGCGACATTCCGATCGCACCCCGTCTTGCGGACTCGTCCAAAAGCACCGAGCTTTATCTTGGACGAAGTAACGCTCGGAAGCATCCTGGAGGATGTCCGTTGTGATGATTCGAAATCACCGGTTTTCATTCTGCGAATGCCGAATAAAGTTTTATAGATCCAAACGTCTGGAGTAACGTTTGAGATTAGTAAAGACGCGAGCGGAGTTTGGAGCAAATGCAAGTATTTACCACCATTTTTCGTGGTTCCTTGGAAACGCGAAAAATGGCGGTAATTTAATCAATTTTGAATGTATACATAGAGATTGAAAGAAAAACAAAACGCACAGAAATTTACACCAAATACTTAAAAAAAAATGTTCAAATGTTTCAACTGTATATGCAGGAAACAGGAATCTTAAAGAGACAAGAAATAGTACATTATTTATTTACAACAAAAAAATATTTTTTAACCATTAGCACTAAAATTTTATCAATATTGTTTATAATTATATTAATAAAGTTATGTAATAATTTTAAATAATTATTTAAAGTTATATTAATAATTACATTTTATCTTGAATCTACAAAGCAATATATCTATATTTAAGTCAAATTTGAGCGAATCTTGCTGGAAAGATTTTGAAAACTGTATATGATTCTACGTGAGCCAATGAGTACGATCAACGCGATGATGCAAACGCTTCGAAGCGTTTTTTAATTGGTCAGTTTGTAAAATTTTTTTCTTCTAATTGATCCATGAAATGTTTCAAAGCATTTGTAACGAGACTTTGACCACAGCCAATGTCAAATGCCGTGTAATCGAGTTAAAAGTTAATGGAATATGAATCGAATTTTCTATCATCATTAGGCATATATAAACAGAAAACTGAAAATTATTCTGTGATACGAATTTAAAAGTAGAAACTCTCAGTGTAAGTGCAGCTCTACTCGCTACACTTGAATTGGATAGCATTTTTGCTCCCTCACGGCTATACATAGCATGATAATTTCAGTATGATCGATAAAATTACTTAAGATAACGTAGTGATATGTTAGAAACGTCGTAGAAGCTAATATATTTATTACGCGGTGCGTGTACTCGCGTAGGTAGACGATGTCAGCGAAAGGAAAGAAAAGAATACACAGGAAGCGTGAAGGTGGTGGAAACAGGGGGTGGGGATGGCAGCGACAGTGATGTGGTAACAGCTGTAGCTTCAAGCTTTTCGAAGAATTTTCGAACAAAATCGTATTAGTGTCTTTTTTTTTAATACGTATAATCATAACATTGATAGCTCCGTGAATCGTAGACCACGTTGGAATACATTGAAAGTTGAAGTGTCGCACATCCGCAGGAGGCCAGACGCGAATCCACGAATGTCGGTGGACGCGGTGATTGCGGCATATATAACTGCATATAACGCGCAGTGCGGACGAAACAGCTAAATGTGGTGTCGGCGTGAGCATTTGTGACGCGCGCCATGTCGCGCGTTCCCAGCTGATCCTACGTTTGACATAACGTGCACGTATTCCCGCAGACGTTCTGTTCAACAGCAGCACCGAAAATAACGTAATTACGAAGAAGATATAACCGCGCGATCTTCCTTGATGCGTGATTCAGTCGTGATCTAGTAAAATCCGAGCTGTTCCGAGAGAGAATGGCGGAGCTGGATGACTTATTTCACACGGATCAATATGTAGGCCCGGAGCGCCTTACTGATTTGTGCTACAAACTGATCTGCGAGAATCTTGACATTATTTCGATAAAGGGAAGACGCGGCCATCGGATACTACGAAAGGGAATAACCTTCCCGAGCGAGATATGCGACAAGATTATAGAATACGCGCAACGTAGTGAGGCGACCGAGGATGACGATTGCTTTTTCTCCATTTTCAAAAATCTAGCGGCGACCCGACTGAAGCATGTTAAGATCTCTAATTGCAGCCTGACCGACACTTCGGTTCAGACGCTTGTCAGCCACAAACTTTATGATTTAGAACTCACTGATTGTAGTAATGTAACAGAAATCTCTATTGAACATATTAATGCCAATTCAGAGAACTTACACAGTTTAGCATGTTATGGAACTTCGATGATTATACCTTCTAGTTTAAGTGCCTGTAAGAAACTATTGTAATCCATGTATTCTATCCTAACGTGATCCAATATGTATGGATTATTAAACTATCTATAATCTTTGTTACAGCCGGCTCGTCCAACAATTATGTCCAACAATTACAATACTATGGACGAGATTACCAAACACGAAGATACGTTTTCAAAACGCCGAATTTAAAGCGACTGGCATTAGCATATGTAGGAATACCTTCATCAGAATATGCATTGCTACTAGCAGGATTAATGAATTTGACGCATCTAGATTTATCCAATAGCTGTAACATTGATACTTTTGAATTTTATCACTTGGTACCAAATTTAGTATCCTTAGCTTTGTACAACGTTAAGGTCAATACTGACCCAAAATCTTTTGTTAAGAACATCTGTCAGTTGAAGAATTTGAGGTATATTATAAAACTTGGATTATACTTAAATAATATAATTATTACATTATTTAATTAGAAATTTTCTTAAAGATGCAAGTATACAATTAGATGATACGCAAACTAAGCTAAACTGTGTTAAACATATAGATTCATATAGAATATTTTTTTAGGCACTTGGATATTTCTCAGTCGTGTCATAAACAGGGACAGTTTGAGAATCCTAATAAGATCTTGTCTGACCTAGTGACTGGTCTACCTCAGTTGGTTTCTTTAGACATCGGTGGCACAAACCTTGCAGGGAGAGGTGTAGCTGAACGTCCCATAAATACAAATATTGAAGACACCAATTTTGGACAGCTTTCCGATATACCAGGACTCGCATCTAAAATACATAAGCCATTACAATTTTTAGGACTTTATGGAACTACTCATGGTGCTTGTAGAAGACATGATATACCAGCAAAAGTGGTAAGATATACAAGATGTTTTATAATTCATACCTACTAATTACAAGATGAAAAATTTTTAACTATTTTTTGCTTCATTGCAATAAAAAATTAAATAAAAAATATTTTTAATTTATTTATGTATTTTCTCGTGGTTTGATTTAGGTCGCTGGAGATGCAAATGAGGATCAAATACTGATCGCAGCTCATGTTTGTATGGACAATAAACAAGAATTATTGCAAAAAGTATTGAGCGATTTATACCATGTATTTAGATTTGAAAATTGTCATAGAATGGATCAAGCACTATGTACTGTCTTGGAAGCGATGGAAAAGCATCCAGCTCAGAAGCATATACAAATATCTGGAAGGTATGTGCATAGATACACATTCTATAATTTATAAATTGCCAAAAGAGACAACTGCAATATTTGAGAAAGCAATTTGTTAAACATCAATAATTACAATTTTAATTTTATGTCGTATATAACAGCGCCACGTTATTTTACATAGTAAAGATGAAGGAAAAGGGTGAATTAGTAGCACGAATGAAGAAAAGGATTATCAGTACTCTCCTTGCTGGTATGAGTACACATAGAGATGAAGAAACTATGATGCGGAACGGTTGTTTGGCATTGTGTCAATTCCGCATACCACATGACGTGGTTTGTATTACTTTGTTTTTTTTTATGTTGCATATTACATGATTAAATATTATTAGTTTTTTATATTAAATCTTTTGCTATCAAATTATAAGATATATTGTAAACAGAAAAGTTGTACCTTTATGTAATAACCATTTATCAATTTATTTGTATAGATGTCCAATTATGAAACCCTTGTAAAAGTACTTCTACATTCAGCCAAACACTCGGAACCAGAAAGTTTCGTTCAAAGAATTGGCATATATCTATTGAACTCTTTAGCTTGTCAAGTGGAAGGTAAAGAGAAAAGATTACTTGGCAAATTGGGTTGTGTTAAGACTATGTTAGAATTGGTGGAGTACAGGGTGGAGACAAATATATTCGACGATGTATTAGAAGTCGCATGGTCGACTATGTGGAATATGACAGACGAAACGTCTATAAATTGCGAACGATTCTTAGATGAGGAAGGCATGGCACTCTTCCTGAAATGTGTACAGGTATGTTTTACAATGTATGTTTGATTATAGGCACTACAGTATGTACTTACAATTAGCTTAAGTGTGTATATGCATGTAATTTTCTTTCTATTAATAAATATTCTCTCGCATATCTAGCAATATCCGCATAAAGAAGAACTATTGAGGAATATGATGGGTTTGCTCGGAAATGTGGCAGAAGTCGAATATCTTCGGATCCATCTTATGCAGGAACGATATGTAACTGTCTTCGCCAATCTGTTACGCTCTAATAGTGATGGAATCGAGGTTTCGTATTTTTTTTTTCTTCTCTCACTTTTCCTTTTTTTTTTCAATTTTTTGTAAATTATCTATTTCAGTTTTATTCGAACATTTTTTATCAAATTCAAATTTTATCATGTTCAAATTTCTAATATGCTCTTAAACATATATATTTAAATATATATATATTTTTCGATTTGTATAGGTTCCATACAATGCTGCTGGTATATTGGCACACATGGCATCTGATGGTGTCGACGCTTGGACAATAGAAAAACCAACTCGTAAAGAGGTTCTTAAATACATGGTACAAGCAATTGAAAGTTGGGACTTAAATGCAGAACGTAATATTAATTATCGTTCGTTTGGACCATTATTACGTCTACTGGATGTGTATCATACTCCTCCATGTCAACATTGGGCTGCTTGGGCTCTTGCTAATCTCACTAAAGTATATTGTATGTATGCAATATTAATATTTTTTATGTCAAACACTTTAAATTATTTGCTGTTTTATATCTGCTCTATATCTCTGTCTTTTGCTATTTTACGATATAATCCGATTTTTTTAGCATTCAAATATTGTGCATTAGTAGTGAAAGAAGGAGGACTAGAGAAATTACATACAGTGATAGCGGATTCCAGACCATACGAACGTATAAAAGAACTCGCAAATTTGGTGATTGAAAATTGCTGTCAATACGAGAGCCATTCCGACGATGTAAATGTTTCTCATTCAGTCTTAGATTCGGAATATCTACGTCTGGATGGCTAAAAAAGATCTTAGTAACATCATTATGCACGTTGCATAACTTATATCGTTTCTTTAGGCAAAACAAATGATTAGTATTACAACATTATGATTAGTATTACAACTTGAACGGATAATAGCCGAGGAATAATTATATAGACGAATCAGAAAAACATGAGTGTGTTACATTAACTTGATAATAATAGATCTGTTCTTTGTAGTTGTACATGTCACACTTTCTGCACTTAAAATATGAAATAAGTATATATAATTAGACGGGAAAAAAAAAGAAACGATAAAAAGTACAAAAAGTGTAGCTACAAAGAACGAACCTATTTTTTCGATAAAAAAAAAGGAAAGGGATGGATGCTCAATATTATAATTACAAAAAGTTGTGTGTGCATATGTATGTATGTATTTTTTTTGTGTTATATGTGTGCATGGATTTGTATGAAGAATACGAAGTATTTTGAAACGAATATTCAATTTTATCCGCAAATATTCATCTTATGTATTATTGTTGATAATTAATGATGAATTACACCGAGAATCTTTCATCCAATCGATACATACGGTGTCACAAATGTTTTGCCATAAAAAATATTATTTTGAATACATTCAAGCAAATATATCTAGATATTTGTGCATCGTAATTGCTGATTGTTGATAAATCAACTAAATTTATATTGATTTAAAAAACGGAAAGAATACGGGTTGCTATTTACTTTTAACCGAATGTGGTTATGCTCATGCATGTAAAATATACAGATGCTAAATTCATTGCAGATAACATTCTCAACGATGCATTTGTCACGCCGTGTGTATGTGTACATACATACATAATACGTTTTTAATATATAGTCGAGTCTCCATATTCCGTACATCTCTATTCTTAGGCCCAGTTACACTAAAATGTCACTTTGATTTTAAGAGAGACTTAAAACTTTATCTATCTCGTTTTAAAACCAAAAAGAGACAGAGAAGATACAGACAAAATTTTAAGCCTCACTTAAAATCAAAGTAATGTTGGTGCAATCAGGCATTAGTAATCTAAATTTTTGAAAATGATTACTGAAATCACGAAAACACAATGGCTGCGTTTAGCAGAGAAAGCAGCTTTGCAACTGTGTAAAATTCTTCAATATGATTGGTCTTGCCCTTAGCTCCTCATTGAGTCTAAAAGTATATTAAAAAATTTTACCCAGTTGCAAAGCTGCTTTCTCTGATGAACGCAGCCAGTGGATTAGATGAGAGGAATGGAGGAGAGAGAATAAAATTTATTTGTAATAATGAGCTAAATTAAGGAGGTACGACTACAAAGAGCGAAAATGAATAATCGCAGCTAAAGCTTGCACGTTTACTTGTCTTTAACTAATTATTAACTTTCGTACAATATGTGGATGTTCGGTTTTTTCTCTTACTTTGATTTTCCTTTTCTTATAGATAATAGTATAGATAATTCGTTCTCATTACATCAGGATTTTTCCAAGACATAAAAATGTGACAGGCTTAGAAGAATATTAAATGTGTAAATAGAATTGCAAAGGAGCAGTACATTAGATTTAAATGTTTTGTATGTTATCGTTATAATTACTATTAAAGAATCCTTGAGAAAATTAACTCTATCAACTAAGTCCCAATTGTACACGATCAAACATATATTTTCATCGAATTTTCAGATTTTCATAAGTTCTTGTTCAATAACAAGAATATATGAAGAAATAATTATAGATTATTACCTGCGCCAATATAATGTGACGATGTAACACATCAATGCATACCCGGTTTGTTCGATGTATAATATAGTATTATCTGAAATCATAATAATAATACGTATTTTATTCTTTTTTTCTATCCTTATTTTTTCTTTTTTTTTCTTTTTTTTTTTCAAAAACCATTGAGGCTATTTATATGGATTCAGTGACACAAATTATCTTGGTTCATCACAATAAAGTAGTAGTTGCAAAATAATGTGGTACCAATGATTTTATAATTGTAAAATTAATAATTAAAATTTAATTGATAATTCTAATTAAACAATTTTAGAAAATTAATAATTTTTTAAACAAAAAATTAATAATTCAAATATAAATTATATTTTATTTTCAATACTTATATCACTATTAGAATTATTAATTTTTTGTTATTATATAGAAAAAAATTAGATCGAGAACAATAAGTATATAATTCAAAATTTTGTTGTAATTAAAAATAATTATATTGTTCGAATAATTATTGGAATTTAGTCAAAATCCAGTTCTATATTTATCAATCACTTAAAAACAATCTGAAAATCTAAGAGCGCGTTCACATCTTGACGTGGAAATGCTTGCGGCAATATACGACGCGATAACGAAGAACATGTAGAAGCTGTAAGTTTATTGGCTGACCATATCATACGATTAAGGCAAATTGACCAATTACAATCGAGCACTTTAAAACATGATATGACATTTTGTGATTGTGATTTCGATTTGCTTGAAACTTTATGATAATGATTAAAATTTTGTACATACGTGTGACAGTCTTGACTTTCATAGAGAGCCATCTTCCAATAGAAATTTTTTTTCCAGGGATAAAATGTCCGTAGCCAAAGTCCCTAAAGAATTCATTCTGCAATTGGACGTATTGGACGTCGAAGGTGACGCATGTTCTTCGTTATTCGTGGCAGGGACGCCTATTCCAAAATGAGCGTGCCGACATTTTAGTTCGTGGTTGCTTGGTGGATGACTATTCGATTTGCTCCGGCCTTGGCGCGTTGAATGATTTTTTTCGGAGGAGGAGGCACGCAGTATCGTCGATCGGGGGATACTTGAGCGGTCCGTCGAGTAGGCCGCATACGTAATATACGTACGGGTGAATCAAGAAATCGATTGTAGACGCGTTCTTGTCGCAAGTGTCGCAACGCAACGAAGAGACGAAGGCTGCGACTCCCACTGGATTCGGGTGAGTTTTCTACATCGCGTTCATCACGCGTAAAATAGGATATCAAAATATGGCCATCGCCTTGAAAAATCGCGTTAATACGAGATTATTGACCCTTTTTATCGACTCGTAGCTCTCACGTGGGAATATATTTTCCTGAATATTCCGCGTTACGAAGGGCATGGATATCCTTCGCCACTTCGTGGCGCATCGTCACGTTGCTCGGCGCATCCGGTATCGGGATTTCGCCAACGCGAACAATGGACGCCGTTGTACTTACGAAATCTTTCTCGTGTCTGATCTTACTTTTTCCTTCCCTCGTTGAAAATCAATTTCGTTCGTGGATTTTTACGCGAAATTGCGTCATTCGTCAACGGAGTTCCAACTACGGTCGTGATTATTAATTGGAATAATGACTTGTAAGCGCAGAGAGGCTTAATTAATTGTATATTTCCTACGAATGTAATTTGTGCCACATACGTTGTACAAAAAAATTTATTTTGTTCATAGACCATTGGCGCTGTATCCACTACAGCCCCTTTCTCTTTCTCTCTGTCTCGTTCACCAATAAGTTGCAACCATGAGCTATGGTTACAACAAATACAGGTTGGTAATGTCCGTTTAATTACGCCGCGAGGATTTGCATTGGTTGAAAAAATTGATAAATACTTTATTTTGATGGCACTTTATTGAAACATCTTGAGCTACTTTAATATTATCTCTGTTTTTGCCTACCGTATTTTCACAATTTTATATTTTGTTAATATACTTGCTATGAGACTCGTTGTTCAATTATATAGTCATAAAGGAATCTTAATTTTTTTTTATTAAGACGCAAAGAGAAGACGTCAAGATATGAAACATGAGAGAAAAGAATAAATGCAATATGAGCGTAACAAGAAATATCTTTCTTTATTTCTTGTAGTTCCACCATGAGTTCTCGTGGTCGTGGATTTAGTTCTCGCGGAGGGGGTTCTTATAGGGGTCGAGGTGGAGGAAACGAGTGGAATGGTTCAGCAGGAGGCAATGTATCTAGAGGAGGATACTCTTCTTCGAGGGGTGGCAGATTCAAATATTCAACGACAAATTATGATTCTAGATCCAAATATAACTCAGGTAATATATAAACGTTAGATATTTAATAGTAACATCATTGGAAAACAATTATGCCCATGAACTAAAGATTTAATTTGAAAATTTTTGATATTTTCTTTATTTCGGTTGGATTTCTTAATTTAATTTCAATTTCAGTCTCTATGAGCATTAGAGAGTACACTTATAAGAGAAATTGAGGCTGTGCTCCATTTGGTGCTGCAAATGCTTCAAAGCATTTAATTGAACAAGACAACAAAATCTGTATTTTAGGATGCAATCCATTTGATGCTACTTTAATCTTTCAATTACAAAAAGAATTTTACTAACTGACCAATCTAAAAATTCTTCAAAGCATCAAGTGGATCGTAGTCTTAAAGCATTAAATAGAAAGCAGTCTAAATTGAAGATTATAAAATATCTAATACTTTACAGTATCACAAGTTGTGTATTAGATATCTTTGTACTGTGAAGTAAATGAACATTGTAATATTGATTATTATTGTATTTACAGGATCGGAAAGATATTCAAGCAGAGGCGGTCGTGGCGAACATTCGAATAGTTATAAAAGACCTCGTGTAAGAATACAAATTAATTATATTTCTATTTATTAAATTTATTTATTAGATTATTTATTGGAAGCGTTTTTGTGATATATTTCAGAATACTAAAATAGTTTCTTTTTTTTTTTTTTTTTTTTTTTAGGATTCTTATTCTGCCAGAGATGATCATCGATCATCAAGTGACTCAGCGCGTAAAAGGATAAGAAGTGATTCTTATCAGGTATGTATCTTCTCCTGTTTCTCTCTTTGTAATCTTTTTCTTCCGTTTCTCTATCTCTCATGAGATAGATGATTAATAATTTTACCTCTTTAGACCCAGCATTACATTGTAATGTATATCAAATTTGAAGACTTGTTGAAATTATTTAATTCTATTTTATCGTTATCTGAAATTGATGTACATAATAATGTATATGTTGGAAAAATAGTCAAAATTTTGAAAAAAAAATTAATTGTTTAGTGAATTATTTATTTAAGTATGCATAAACTGAATTAAACAAAATTTTTTTTAACATGGTTCCAATAAAATCAGATTTGAAGAGGTTAAGAGAAAAATATAGTACAACCTCAATATACAATGCTCTATATGATAATGTATGAATATTTCCCAACTTGGATTTCTATGAAAAATTTAATGAAAAATTTTTTTCAATAGAAGATTAAAATATTGTTATTTTATGTAATGTAACGATGGTCCTGAAAGTTTGTCACTTATAGATTGAAGTGTAACGTTTATTAAAAAATGAGTTACACAAAGGAATATTAAATGATTTCAGGACACTCGTATATAAGAAAAATTGGTATATCTTAAACAGAACATTTATAAGTTATCCTACTTTCCTTTCAAGCAACGCGAACCAACGGCTTCTCGAACACTCGTTCTTTTTGCGTTGGGGCGCTACTGCAGAGGAACGCTACAAAAACGTCAAATTATTAAAAGATGAATCATTAAAAGATGAAATATACCTAGATGGTATTTATACGATATTGCCCGCTGTCCGCACATATCCTAGTAAAGTTTGAGAGCTATTTGAAAAATCAATGACAAATTGAATGGATAGACGTGAGAGAGTTACATCATGTTATTCCCCGTTAGAAAACAATAAGTGCAATTATGCCGATTTATTATGCAGTAACGAGAATAAAGAGTATAGAGAAATTGTAGAGAGATAACGACGTCTTCTCAGGCATCGCCTTGTGACATGGGATTTTCATGAAATATCACCCATAAACATCGTTTAATCAATTATTTAAATTATATCACAAATGCTAAATTACAAGAGCACAAATTTTGATTAATATTTATACGTTCGTAGGCCTTTCCAATTGTTATATATTGGGACATGTTATCGACCTTGCGCATAACAAAAAGGGAATTGGGAAAGAATTAATATCTAATGTATGCATATCCCTACAGAATGATACTAGGGAAATACTTGGCATGCATGATACATGTGGGGGAGACGAGCGAAATATGGATATACAAGTGTATATATGTATATATAATATCGTTCAAACTATCTTATTATCAAACGCAACTATACGCATAAACATTCACAAATGATTACGTACATAACAACTTTGTTACTTTTATTCGATTCATCTTCGTGTATATGAAATATTTGACACATCACGCCTAATGACAGATATATAATTCGACTAAGTTGGAAAGGTCTATCGAGAGCATTATACGTACGTTATATATATACATACATCGTTGAATGACGACATAGAATTCGTTAGCTCGAGGGAAACGAGCGCTGCTACTACTCCCGAAATTGCAAATATCAATAGAAAGTACATTTTTATAACGAGGCAATGAAAAGATACTTAGGGATTCTTAATTATTTAGGGAAAATCAAATTGTATATCTAGGTGATACAATGAGCATAGAGTAATTACAATTATTAATCCCATATATGACGGTCATGACGCTGAATCATTTTAAACAATAGACAATTAGCACTGCATGCATGGTGATAATCGAATGATGAAATGCAAATGGGTTTGAAAACTGAAAATAGAAACATCAGTTAAAATTACAATGCCGACATTATGCTATTAATCGATCAATCAGTTTTTTATTCAGTCGATTGAGTTAGTCATTTAGCCATTTAGTCACTCAGTCGATCACTCAATCAATCCATCACTCGATGTCAGTCGGTTAGTCACTTGATTAGACTTAACACCAGTTGGACAGTAGCAATTAAGAGGTAAATATGACGTAGATAAATATGTACGTGCGT